GGCAGCACAATGGCTCAGCAGCTAAAACATTGGGTTTATCAGCTGGAAAGCAGTAAGCCCAGGTTTGAGACCCGGGCACCATGTAATAGGGTGAACTCCCATCCTTGCCCTAGCTCTAGCTCCTGCCAGCCATTTCATTTGGTTAACAAATTTGGTTAACAAATATGACCCAAGTTATACAATCACTTGTTTCATGCAAATATTTTCAATTAAAGCAATGTAAGAAAGCTATTCATCTATTGTAGAGTGACCCTAACCAAATGGTAGCAAAACAGCTATTAAGTGCAAGTAGTAATGTATCAGTATTTAATGACTTGCCCCTTGACCTTCAAAATAGCCAAATTTATTTACAGAGGATCTTTATGGAAAGTCAAGTCTTGATAAAATTAGTTCCATTAGTCAGTGGGGAATCATGAATCAATACACTTTATGTTGGTAGCACAAATTGTAAGTGAATTCCTTATCGAACATCTGTACTGGAAAGTTTTACATTAATACAAAGATTACCATGGGAGATTAATTTATTGTTTAAATCTGATCCTTGTTATTAGATTCTGTTAACAATATAAGAAATGCAGTTCTAGGCTACATCAACAGTATAGTGACACAATCAAGAGAATGATTGTATTTTCTATTGCTTCGTTCCTTTCTATTCATCATACTTAATCTAGAATAATGTATCCAGCTCTAGGCATCAGATTTCAGAAGGACATTGACAGACTAGAATATGTCCAGTAGAAAGCAACAAAGATTTTAAGGGAAAACTTCAATAATTGTATTGTATGTTAAACCTGGAGAAAAGAAGATTGTGATTAGATACGATAGCCATATTCTCAAGAGGTATTACATAGAAGATGGAGAAGAACTGTTTAGAATGTTCTGAAATTATAAAAAGAAACAATGGATTTAAATTGCAAGGAAACAGATTTTGGTTACACATTAGGAATAATTTTTTAATATAAGACTGTCTCAGGATACGTCAGATAGATAACTGCACCAGTGGATTCTTATGGTAGGCAGAAAGTTGTACTACATGATTTATTTTTTTATTTTATTTTGAATTTGTATACCGCCCTTCTCCCTGAGGACTCAGGGCGGTGAACAGCCAAGTAAAAACATCAAGTTCAAATATTAAAATACAATTAAAAAGATATATATAAATTTGGCCCCATTAATTAAAAACGATAGACAAAACAATTAAAAACACTTTAAAAAATTAGGCCAGCCTGGCTTGCTGGAAAAAGAAGGTTTTAAGAGCACGGCGGAAGGCACCGAGGTCTTGGATTCTCCTTATCTCTGGGGGCAGCTGATTCCAGAGGGTAGGTGCCCCCACAGAGAAGGCCCTCCCCCTGGGGGTCACCAGTCTACATTGTTTGACTGATGGCACCCCGAGGAGGCCCTCTCTGTGGGAGCGCACAGGTCGATGGGAGGCCGTCGGTAGCAGCAGGCGGTCCTATGCCATGGAGCGCTTTAAAGGTGATAACCAACACCTTGAAGCGCACCCGGAAGACCACTGGGAGCCAGTGCAGCTCACACAGGAGTAGTGTTATATGGGAGCGCCATGCAGCTCCCGTGACTACCCGCGGTTATCAGCTTCCCTTCCAACCTTCTAATTGTATGATTCTATGCATTTTCATTGCTCTCCCTTTATCTACCAAAGTCTGGGTGGATAAATACTCATATGCTCATATGTGCAGTTCATGGTCCAAGTTCTTATTTCTTCTCTTCCTCCTTTGTTCTGTTCTCCCGGCATCTGGCTCCATTGGGAACAGGCAGATAAACTCTAGCAAGCAGGTTTTCATGCAGATTATATTTATTTCGGGTATCCTCAAACACAGACTTACAATCATGGTAAATCAAGGTGAGGTTCATCCAGGTATTTCATAATCTATCTCAATTCCTAGTGTAAAATGATGGTAGTTCTGTCCCCCTGTTCAGAAAGCATGCTTCTCTTGTCTGTGGTAGTTCAAAATGGCTGGGTCTTTGTTCTGCATCCAGACAGAGAGCCTCAGTGGCCAATCAGACACACAGATATGGTCACATGTCATGGACTACACTTCCCATAATGCAGTCTCTCTCTACATCTACCACAATGCAATCTCTTAAGGAGACAGCTCTTAATCCTTAAGGTAACTAATTCACTATAACTCACTATCTGAAACAGCACATTCTTAGGATATTTTTCTTTTTCACCTCAGATTTTTTTTAGTTTTTGTCTTGCAGTTTAATTTCTTTAAACTCTGCCCCCTTCAACGATTAGCTTAGAAATATATCAAAGTCCTGCCTCCCCAGGAAATAAAAAACTGTTGAAAGCAGTTCACTTTATTTGTGATCCAATTTATGTGCACAGAGAGCTTAGTTATTTATACTCACCTGGGGTCATAAATCCCCTACTTCAAATCCATTCACCTCTTTTCCCTATGTGTAATCACAACCACCTACCTGGTTGGCACTGTAACCAAGTAAGAGATGGAAAGAGGTCATCAGCAACTGAAGTGAGCCAAAGAGAATTGTGACCTCTAGTGATGGTCTGAGATAAGATGATATATGCTTCCATCCCTTCTTTCTACTTGCCACCACTTGTCAATGCTATTTATATGCATCAGTATCACACTATGTAAAGGACAGTTTTTATTGAAAGTTATGGCTTGGTGGGAGTAAGGAATGGGGAGAGAGGTGTTGAAATGTTGGCCTTCTATATAGGATACTATGATATTTCCTCTCCCCCAAATATGAGTCTCAGTGATGTCAGCAAATACGATCTCACTAATAACTTGCATCTTTATTAAATACCACAGGGGTCAATTACTACAAACTGGAAATTACAGAAATTACAATTAAGGTGTTAAAAAGTTTCTCCTCAGCCATGCAGTTTACTGAGTGTCTCTCTCGACCCAACCAATCTCTCAGTCTGGCTGTTGGAATAAAATCTGGACAGACCACTAGGCATGTCGCCTTGAGACTTCAGAGAAAGTTGGGATAGAAACATAAAAAAACACAAAATAAATCAATAGTGTGAGTCCCAAAAACCTGTTTGGCAGCACTGAGTAGCAATTTTCTTTTGTTTGCATGAAAGTAAGTAGCTCAGTGTATCTAACTGGGTGGTAATAATAAAAACAGAGTGCTTTTCTTCATTGAAGTACTATAGTGCATTAGGAGCTAGAAAAAAAAAGAAGGGGATAAAAATGTACTTATAGTAGGTTGTGGGTGAACAGAAGGTGATCTTTCCAGACAAATTTCTATGTCTGTGAACAGATGCATCATACCAAAGCAGTGTAAACATAATTTTTAACTCCTTTGTATTCACAAAATTACATCTGAGTTACAAACAAAAAGACAAAATAACACACACATACCCTGAGACTAGTATCTTTCTGTTCTAACTTATGTTTCACTGCCATGTAAACAGATTTAAGCTGCTGAGTAAATGTACTTGCTGAGTGAAGAAATTGTGTTTAATAGTGGGGTAAGATCTATTGACTCCCTTGAATTTTAATACTAACATAAAGTCAGCTGAGGATGTTTTTCTCTGAAGTGCTCTGATTTAGAAAATTACTAGCTGTTTTGGGCATCAGATACACTGTTATACCGTCTCTATTTAACCATCATTATTGCACAGAATTTCCACACAACACAAGCCAAAAGTCACTAATTGCTTCTGAGATCATATCAATGAATAGAGTACAAGATCTGGAGTCTAAAAGTAAGATCCAATAAATATGATGAAGAATGTTGCTTTTGTTTGGAGATAGGGAGCATCAGCAGATAATTCTTGATATTAGTAGAGAAGAACTATTGCATTGTCACATTTAAGTCAATAAATTGAGCTGTCAGAAACATCTAAACCAGCTTATCTAAAATCCAGCTAGATTTAGACTAGACTGGACTAGACTAGACTAGACCAGAACAAAACAGAACAGAATAATTGGAGATCTTGGAGATCTTCAAGTCCAACCTCCTGGTCAGACAGGAAACCCTATACCAGGGGTGAAAGGCTACCAGTTCGGACCGGTTCAGTTGAACCAGTAGCGATGGTAGCGGGTGGTTCGGAGAACCGGTTATGACGGCAGTGCGAGATTCCGCCCACTAGCCTGGTTGTCGTTACTTCCTGGTTTTAACCAGGAAGTAACCCATTTTTTACCCTCTGCGCATGTGCAGAAGGGTTTGCACATGCACAGAGGGTCTATGTGCGCATGCAGCGTGTGCACTTCCAAACCGGTAGGGAAGGTAAGTAGATTACATCCCTGCCCTATACCATTTCAGACAAATGGTTACAATAGGCAGTTTTCTTCCCATATTTCAAAGTTGTTTTTCCCTTTCCTACTTATACACGTAGTCCTTGACTTACAACAGTTCATTTAGTGACTGCTCAGTTACAATGGCACTGAAAAAAGGGGCTTATGACCATTTTTCACTCTTACAACAGTTGTAGAATCCTCATGATCATATGATCAAAATTCAGATGCTTGGCAACTGACTCACATTTATGACGGTTGCAATATCCCATGGTCATGTGATCACCTTTTGGACCTTCAATGGGGAAGCCAGGTTCACTTAACAACTTTGTTATTGCAATGGTGGTAATTCACAACTGTGGCAAGAAAAGTGGTAAAATGGGGCAAAACTCACTGAACAAATGTCTCATTTAACAACAGAAATTTTGGGCTCAATTGTGCTCATACGTCGAGACTACCTTGTAACACGTCGTTGAAGGAAAATTAAATACACACTCAGCTAAATTTCCACATTTTGTGCTTATTATTAAAAGTTTGGTTTTCCTGTGAATTCACAGTCTCTCTCCCAATCTGCCTGAAACATGTTTTCTGTAACACTGTGCAACATTACTGACACCAGAGTTCTAGGTTGTGAAACTTAATTGCTATATATGGTGGCAAGAAGACATTGATATAACCCTGACCATGCTGTCCAGCAGACTTCCGTACTGCATGTTAAGACCGAAATTTCCACACACAAAAAGTAAAAATTACAATGCAATGAAGTAAAAGTCTTACATTCATGTTGTTTTTATTGTTGGATTACAGCATTTACATTTCTTTCACATTAAGATCACAAAATTATAGACATAGATCCGTACCAATACTTTCTTCCAATACTAACCTGAGCCAATAATTGCAGCTTCCCCAGAGTCTTCTATCAGTTTTACATCATTACATCTGGTGTAAGATTTAATTATATTAGAATCAACACATTTACATGTTATATATATTTTTTACATTCAGAGTAATTACTTCCATTAGAATAAAAAAGCTTTTTATTCTTTTGCTGTATTGCAAAACCCCTTCAACTGTTTACCAAACACAGTATATATTTTTATAGCACTGAATATCAGATGCTGAGATTTTATTAGTGAAAATTATTTGTTAATACGTTTTCTAATCACATTCAAGGTAAATGTATGAAGGCTGCTGAGGCTAAAAGAAAGAACTGGAAGCATACTGTACCAATCCCTCTTTTTTTTTTTTTTTTGCAAGATTATAACTATACGGTATTTTGAACGAAAACCTTGAAGAACTAGGCAGTATGACATGATAACACCAGAAGTGCACATACACCTCAATAAGAAGCTTCAATCATCCATATAAAGATAGAAAATTGTGAAGGCAATTTTATTTAGAAAAGAGATCATGACTAGGTGGGAAAAAATAAGCAATAAATAAAGAAATCAACAAACCTGCACATAAAAGCTACTCTATATAATAACAACATTGCCCTATTTTTGTGTGTGTGTGTGTGTATGTGGATACGATCAGCCCCAGAGGGAGGGAAGAACAAAATTAGTTTGAAAACATGATGAATTTCTATATTTCTATAGAAATATCTAATTTTTATATAGTAGACCAGGGTGTCAAACTCCCGACAATACATTGTCATCACGTGATGTACTTCAACTTTTTTCCTCTTCGCTAAACCATGGGTGGGTGAGGCCAGCGCGTGACCCAGACAGCTCGTGGGCTGCTTGTTTTGACTCCCCTGTATTAGACAGAGGGACACAACTGAAGTGTTTTTATTTTTCTTACTTTTGAACTGGACCCATGTGTAATATGACCTTATGTATTGGACCAGCAAGATGGGGGATTAAGGTTTCTTTGAAATGTTGCCTGCTGTATATTGGAATGTTCTTTTTGACAAGGGCTCTCTCAAGAAGAGCACTCAACTTTTTTTTATTCTTTGAATTATTATACTTTGAATTATTATTCAAAGAAGTGATTTGGTCAATGAAATAATGAAATCACGCAAGAGGCTAAAAAGTTGGTTTTATCCGGAGTCCTCCCATTTAAGACGCGTAACTTGTTTTGTTTGCTTGCAAGTACACTGATATTGAAGAGAGGTATGTCTAAGGCTTTAAGAAGGGTATCTGTGTAAAGGTGACTATGAGAAAAGGTGACTTTTGAAAAGGTGACCATGAGGTATTCATCTGGCTTAAATCATCCATTCATTTTCAGATATGTTTTCTTAATAGCACCCAAACTCTTACCATAGATTTGAGACCTTCGTCAAAAAATATTCTTGATAGAAAGTAAAGAGTTTCTAGTTTTATTCTAAAAATAGGTGGGCACAAATAGTAGGAATAGCATCACATCAATATTATAGTCATTCAGGAAGAAAATAAACATAGATAAGGAAAAGCATGACCTTGGGATGAAACCCTGCACCTGTTCAACTAATCGCATTGAAATACCTGAAAGCACATGAACAGATGAGCTCCCAGGTAAAACTGAAACCCCAAGACCACACTAGCTACCATACATCCACAGTTATGGCTGCTCACTGCAAAGGCTTTGGGGATTCTGCAGTGACAGCTAAAAATAAGTAAAGCCATAGAGTTATCACAACTCTGTTTTGCTACTTTCCATGCATCACAATGAACGTTTTTCAGTGTTTCACTGAAGCACAGAAGATATCCCAATAAAAAATGTTGAGCACCTTTTTAATAGAACTCCTAATGTACCATTCTGGAAATGTATACAGAATATGCAAGTGATTTACAAAATCTGTAGCTATCTGGCCATTAGGGACAACTACTGCAAATCTTTTCAAACATGGATAGGCAAAATTTATGCCTTTGCATATTTATTGAATAAAGGCAAATAATCCTGATATTATGCTGGTGTTATATCTATTCGTAATTTCTTCCATTGCCTATATATTCAGATATGTAGGATCACTCCTTATCCAATATTTGAGATACTCTACCCTCCAAAATTCTTGCCCTTAAAAACTGCACAATCTTTTTTTCCAAAAAATTCTATGCGATTTAAGTGTATGATTTTAGCAGCTTTTCTTTGATTATGATTTTTTTACAATCGATTTATTTCAAAAGGGCTTATCTATTCCAACTTTTATTGAAAAGATCACAAAAGGGAGGGATGAAAATAAAAGCCATCTTTTACAGAAATATGCTTGCTACATTCATAGACAATGTGCAATGTGCAGGCCATGAGACACTAAGAGCATTGTTGCGATGGCTTGATCAAAAAAGCTTCCAATAGTCTAGCTAGCTATTAGAGAAGAAGAAAAAATGTTTAATTCATTGCAAGATTTTAATATATTATATCCTCTTCTATAGTCAGAGGTGGTATTCCTTACAATCCCTACTGGTTTGCAACTGTTAGTGCACGCACGCTTCATTCACACTTGCCCTGTCTGTGCATGGGCCCAGTCTTCCGCGCATGCACTTTGCTGCCACGCGCACCTTCCACACATGCGCCTGGCCTCAAAAAAGTGCCTAAATAGGATGGCATAGAGCCGGTTTCCGCAACCGGTTCGGGCAAACTGGTGCAAACCAGCTGAATACTACCTCTATCTATAGTACCATATCAACATTTCTTAAACATTGAAAATTGTATCATATTTTTCCTTCTCTGCTTCAAGAGATACATATTTTCAGTGCAGTGCTGATTAAGATGGTCGTAGAAATTAGGGGTGGATCACAATTTTTACGATCTTGGGAAAGATCTCCAGCTAGGCATCCCTAACTCCAATATCTATTTTACTTTGATGTCCAATGTTGCAGAGAAGTTCCAAAACCAAGAAAGTTAGTTGTACAAAAACACTCGATGGAATTCAATTTTTTTTTAACTCATTGTATATTAGTGATTTTCTGTGAAGTAACAAGCTGGTTCATCAAATGGAAGTGTGCTTTTCTTCCCCTTATAGAAATAAAGCATATCCAATCCCTTTCTTATTATAAAGAAGACAAATTTCTTATTATAAAGAAGACAAATGCAAACTAGCATTACTGTTTCTGAATCAAAGGGGACCCAGGAACAATGGAGAATCCATTCGAGAAGTTTCACTTTTGCTACAGAAATGGGAAGAATAAGATCTATGTATATTAGCAGCTATGGTATCAAATAATTGCCCTTCATGCATGTACATAGTGTCATAGAATATCCTTACAAATATGGTGCTTGAGAAAGATACAAAAAACTGCAGGTGCAGCAGACACATTTTGAAACAAACAAATTTACTAAGTGCCTATTGTGCAGAAGAAACATTAAGCATTCCCAAACCGACTGCCACACATTCATCAAGGCAACAGAAACGTTTAAGCAAGTGTGACTGTAGCTCACTAAGTCATTTTCTCCAAGGATTTGGGGAAGGATTGTTGTGTTCCACAGGATTCTAGAGTGTCGGTTTAAAATAACTCATTGAGCTCCAAACTAAACGACTATATGCTCAAAGGAGACACACATACACGCATATACACACACACACATGATATTGGGTTTTTCCAGAGTGTCCGGATGATTTTTTTTTCAGTACATGTTATTGCCAGCTGACAGTTTCAGCAGCTTTGCATAATTGTGCTGTCAATTATGTCAGGAAGGACGGATGTCTGAATATTTCTGCTCTCCCGATTCTGAAAGTTGAAAACTTTTATTTCACTATAGCCAGTCCTGATGGATTTGCAAAACATTATATGCAGCACTCAAACACACTAACACACTAACACACACATACACGCATGCACACACCATATCCGTACAGCAAACATTTGTTTGCTTAGACCATTAGGAGATAAGCAGAGGAAGATAAACATGCAGCTCTAACTGCATTTAGAATGTTGAGATAAACAAAATTGTCTTTTTTACATGTTGAATGTCTCTAAGAAAAGTAAATAAAGAGTCAGTCACAGATGACAATGTCTATTAGTTCTTAGAAGAAGGCTTTGATAACCCTTAACAGCCAGTCTGGTCCATTGGAGTAAGACTGGTTATGTCACTCTCTTTCAGCCTCATGTGGCTGTTATGAATGTGCTATGTTTTGCAAAGCAAATATACGCACGAAGGCGCTTCATAAATAATGGTTAGTAATAGTTAATAATATTTCAAGAGTTTCAATTCTGCCTTACACGCTTTAATTAATAATCACTTCCTTGGAGCAATCTTATTGGAATATTTAAAAAAAAAACATAGGAAACAGAAAAGGGAAAATAACAGAGGACACACATGAGTGCAAAGAAAAGGGTCAGTAAAAGTAAAAAGGCAAGAAAGGTAGAATCGCAGCTGTTAAAAAACACTGATTATGCAAAGATACCATTTGAGTTTGGCGGAATGTATGAAAGAGCTAAAAGTTCATCCTGCATATGTATTAGTCATACTGGACCTTCTGTTATCCCTTCTAGAGGAAGGCTGGTAGCATTATCAGCGGTAGATGTGTCTTCTTTCTTCATTGATGTCTGAATTAGTAGACTGACATACGGTTTGTGGCAAGCCATGTTGCCCAAAGGAGGGTAATGCTGTCTGTAGCAAATGTAAGCAAATACAAGGCCGATGACTCCTCCAACGAAAGCATCTAGGTGTGAGGAAAGCAAAAGAAAAGAAAGATATATTACTATTGAAAGAATAACTTAGGAATGCTCCAAAGTTAGTTTGGGGTTTCCTACTTGAAGATTATTTTTATGATGCCTTCAGAAAAACACCTGACATGTAGGCAGAAAAAAATATTAGCAAATCCCCAAGAAGTAATAGGTTGTGTGGGGTAAACATTCCCAAAGGCGGTTAACGGGATTGGCAAGAATCTCAGGCTAAGATAAATACTTTAGGGGAGTTCAACATGCACTATTGTTTCTACAGCCTATTTTTATTCAAATGTGTAGGTAAAGTTTGCATCAGCAGTCAACTTCCTTAAACAGCTACTTCCCCTCCAGCTACATACAATACATGTGCACTCTGTACTTTTTCCAGAATCACACAGCTGTTTCAAAGAGATATAGCTTGTACTATGTTGAATTCAAAGCATTTCACTGTTGTAATAAATATTCTACTTTGGCTCTCTCTCAGTGCTGCCTAGCCACCATTTTAATATACCATTCTCTACTGCAGAAACATGAAGCAGTTCCAAAGAAAATGGGAATTAAGATAGCAGCTAACCCAAGATGCCCAATAAGAATTGCATTAATATAGCCTATGAATGAGTCAACCGCTATCAAAAGAATCTTTGACCAATTCCTTAAAATAGCATCCAAATAAGATCAAACAAATTTAACCAGGACAGCCATTAAGATTATGTTCCAGTAATCTATATGCATCCTTATATAGACAGGACAATCATATGCGTGTATGAAGAAGTGAGCTGATTGGAAGGAGATTTAGCACAGAATTATGAAAGCTCTTCTTAACATTAAATATAGTTAACCAGTAAAATTCATTGAGACAGAAGCCATAATCTTGGATGGCTTTAAAAGGGGATAACCTCATGGATGGATGGTCTATAAAGACTTAGTTCTGAAGATTCATTGTTACCTTCAGATTGGGGCAGTGTTGTTCCAAGTCCTGGCTGCTTGGGAACAAGCACATCATAGGGCTGTATCTATAATTTGGGAAAGACCTTAGGAGATGGATGATGTTGCCTAGGAAATGGTCTGATAACACACAGCATAACTTGCAGCTGGATAGTGGGTGGAGCAAGAGGTTCAAAAGGGACTCTCTCTAAGTCTTCAGGCTATAAAAGTGATGGCAAGAGAATTGCACTTTCAAGATTCTGTTATGGTAGCTTTACCATAAAGCAGAATTGGTTCATCTGTTGTCCATTTCCTGGTAAGACTGATCAATGTCTGTCTGGCTGTTGTGAGAAATGAAACAATGAACTAAGATGGACTTTGGCTTGACTACAGTCCTGCTGATAAACTCAGTACTTTTCAGGATTATTTCTTGTTCATCTAGGAGGCTAACTTGAAATACATTTCCAAAGCACTTACACAATCACCAATCCACTAAACATTTTGTATACATGTCTGGAAAGGGGAAATTAGTAACTAATAAAAGATCTTGTATAAAAACAGCAGATGCAGGGAGGAATACCAATAAGAGTCTTTACTGTTCTGCTGTGTGGTTTTACCCAAGATAGAAACTCCAGCACTACAAAATTATGCCTGTTATATGATATGCTGATATGCAGCACAAGGATTGAATCACTTAAAGTAAAGCAATTCTGTGAAAAAAAGGAGCTGTTACAGCACTCCTCCACTCTGCCATAAGCAGCAACATGGGATGAGATTTCATTATCATCTGTATAACACAAATCATTTGCATTCCAATTTTTTCCCCTTTTCTCCCAAGAGTAAAATCTTATAAATGGAAACATTTCAAACCGCCCAGAGTTGCTGGAAGTCAGGCAGCATATACATTTAACAAACAACAATTGTATAAGCACAGGCTCGTGTGAAGCTTTTAGAAAGCTGGACTCCTATCAGTAAGTTACTCATACTTGACACAAAGAGAAAGCATTATAGGAGTTCCAAATTTCATTTCATCTAAAAGTTCACTTCTATCACTTTCTGAATGGCCTGAATCAGTATTAATGGTGTGCAGTAGTGCTGTGTATATAGCACAGTGCTTCCATTAAACCATCTGATACACTCAGTCTATGCTTAGATGCCGGAATATATAGACTTCAGCTACTATTTTCCAAAAGAATCTCTGCCATGTAATCCCATTAACACAAATATAGAATAGATAAAAGCCATAATATATCTTTATAATTCTATTAAGAAAGAGGATTTAAGGCCCCTAGATCATTTCATGGTATCAGAGATTGGGCAAAACAACAGTCATTCTAAGCACCTACCATAATAGCAACAATGACAAGAGTGGGCCTGCTTATAAATATCCAACCGGGAAAGTCAAATCCAACATTGTATAAACTGATTTATACACATCAAAGTATATATCTTTTAAACCTTTATGGCTAATGCAATTGACTTCATAGAATATAATATAGGTTTCATAAATAGTCATTTGGTAATTTTCAGTTTTAGCTTTTAAAATTATTTTACACAAATGCTAGGCCTAATTAGATCCTTAATATTTTTCTAGGACAGTGTTTCTCAACTTTGGTGGCTTGAAGATGGGTGGACTTCAACTCCCAGAATCCCCCAGCCAGCAGCGCTGGGGGAAGTCCACCTATCTTCAAGCTTCCAAGGTTGAGAAACACTGTTCTAGGATCAATGTAAAGGCCTACCAAGGAGAAGAATAGAGATAGTCTTCGACTTACAACTACAATTTATCCCAAAATATCTGTTGCTAAGCAAGACAGTTGGTAATGACTCTTGACCCATTTTACAACCTTTCTTGCCACGGTTATTAAGTGAATCACCACAGTTGTTAAGTTAGTAGTACAATTGTTAAGTGAACCTGGCTTCCCTAATGACTTTGCTTGACAGAACATCACAAAAGGTGATCACATGTCCAACTACCATAAACTGCAACTATCATAAATATGAGTCCCTTTCCAAGCATCTCAATTTTGATCCCATGAGCATGAGGATACTGCACTCATCATAAGCATGAAAAGCTACCATAAGTCACTATTTTTAGTGCCATAATTTGAGGGCTATCTAAAATTTAAAAAGATGGCTTCTATTCTAAGGTAAAGTATTTTGTTTAGGTTCAAAGACATTTGGTAGATTCAGCAGCTAAAAAAACCTATTTAAGCAAAACAATTTGAAATGTTCAAACATAAGGAAATCTTTTTTTAAGTTGTGATCTTAAATCTTATATTACAAGACAATGAATTAAAGAGTTAACAAATGGTGCGGATAGCTGTAAATTAAATCCTGAAACTAATTAAAGTATGATTTTGTGCTCAAATTATTTTAAGTCAGATACGATTTCATTATCTCAATGAAATAAGGCATTAGGATCTTTAAGTCTTTTGAAATATCTAAATGTAGTTTTAAAACAAACAGCATTTTTAATCGCATGGAGTTATTTTCTAACTTTTTAAATAAATAAAAATAAAATAAAATGAGAGCACTGCTACTTTCAAATAAGTGAAATGCTGAGTATTAACATGACTTTTACATTTCAATGGTAGGAAATCAAATAAAAGCAGTCTAGTATGCTGAATGGGTAAAGGAAAAGAATGATTTTGCCTCTCCATATTAATATTCCTGTTGCAAAAATCTGTGGTGTTCCCTACACATCTGTCAAACGCATACAATTTTGTGAAGAATGTTTTTTCCAATTCTTGTTTGCAACCCTTACACTTCCAATTTATGCTTGTGAACAGATGATATAAAGGGAAATATGGAAAATACTAAAACAAAGAATACCTCAAATAGCCTTGCTCACTATAAATTATGCCTTGTTCTTGTAATGGAGACATTACGAGAACTCTTGTACCTCAGACAAGGATCTCCTATAGTTTTGTTTCTCTGTGTGGATTTTGTGTTGTTTGTATTTATTAATTGTAAATATAAATTTTATCTTGCTTACCATAAAGAGGTACGTTTATTGGGTGCATTTCTCCTTTGCATATATTCTATATAACCATTTATAGGTTAAGAGAATTGAAAAATTTGCATATCTTACATTTTCAGAGTGCTGAGGGACAAAATAAGTATCTTGTCAAGAGGTATGCCATATCCTGGATCTCGCAGTGGGCCCCAGGTACTTGAAAAACCCTATTTGTGAAAATCTCTTCAGATCCATTTGAATCCCTGATATTTTTATGTATTTTTACGTACCAGACATATTATTTTTTATTTACAATGGATTTTCAATTGTTGTTAGATTGTCTATGCACATCTGTTCATTAAAAATATTTTTAGATAATTAAAAAAGAGATCATTTTTAAAAACAGTGAAGTAGAATACCCATAGATATTCTGACATGATTAATTAAATTAACTACTACTGCTGCTGTGGAGGCACAATGCAGTAATGCAGGCTATTTCTGCTGACTGCTGGCTTCCAGCAGTTCGGCAGTTTGAATGTCACCAGGCTCAAGGTTGACTCAGCCTTCCATCCTTCCGAAGTTAGTAAAACGAAGACCCAGATTGTTGGGGTCAATATGCTGACTCTGTAAACCGCTTAGGGCTGTGAAATGGTATACAAGTCTAAGTGCTATTGCTACTATTGGAACTCTGAGAGGTTTACAACTCATTTAAAACATGAAAAATATGACGATTAAAACAATAAGAATAAAAAAAGCAGAGAAAGCAGGATAATGTTTTCAATCTTAAATTGAAAGGAAAGTTGAAAGCCATTCTGATCTCAGAAGGAACATCATTTCAAAGGGCAGATACTGCCATAGAGAAGATGTGTGGCACTGCTTAAGTGAAAGAGTGGTCAAGCAGATATTATGAGAGACAGATGCATGTAACCAAGCACTATGCCATGTAGGGCTTTATAGGTATCAATCACCATCTTGAATCATACCTGGAAGCAAACTGGCAATCTCACAAAGCAGAAGTATCACAAGGGCATTTTGAGGCCATCTGTTTACACCACTGTATGCTGGACCAGTTGAAGTTTCCATGTGGTCTTCAAGGACAGTATCATAAGATATGATATACCAAATTATATATAACTAATTTTGAGCATCCAACGGGAGGGAAGCCCTGCCACTAAGGACTTCCTGGGTAAACCTAGAGCAAGATGAGAACATTTCTGTGGCTAGGATCACATAAAAAGCTTTCACTGTAATCTCAGGGACTTCATGTAATGTAAAAACTGGGCTTAGCACAAGTGTGTGTGTGTGTGTGTGTGTGTGTGTGTGTGTGTGTGTGTGTGTGTTTTCTTTTTGGCTGCCCAAACTCAGCAATTGTGCTGTTTCTATTGGCAAATCATTTGAGATGAGGCTCTGGAAGCCACAAACACTGAATAGAAGATCTATACGTGTCCATGATCTAATCTGCATCAGTTTATCTGCAGTTATAATTAATGTAATTCTTGTAATCATCTACAGAGTAGTTTCTACAAGAATTTCCTTTCCCTAAAGCTTACGACTTAACATACTTATTGTAAAACAACAACAAAGTCTTCATTTTCTATCCGATTTTTAAGGTTTTGTTCTTTATCTCTAGAGATACTTATTATGGTGAATCAAAGATGAAAATGTATAATTATTCCCATTAGCACATCCAGATCTCATTCCCATTTGGAAAATTACAATCAGATCAATATGTTGGATATGTAGGCATCTCTCTGTAAAATTTAAATCTCCTAAAATAGCCAGTAATTGTTAAAGCAACTACAGGTAGTCCTTGATTTATGACTACAATTAAGTCCAAAATGTCAGTTGCTAAGCAAGGCAGTTGTGCCCCATTTTACAACTTTTTCCACACACAATTGTTAAGTGAATCACTCCAGTTGTTGTGAATCATGGTGGTGAATCTGGTGTTCCCCATTGACTTTGCTTGTTGGAAGCCAACTGGCAAGGTTACAAAGATGATCACAGTGCAATTGGCATAAATGCATCTGAATTTTGATCATGTGACTCTGGGGATGCTGCAAAGGTTATAAGTGTGAAAACCAGTCATAAGTCAATTTTTTCAGTGTCATTGCCCACTAGTTATTATTACTGTTATGGTTGGTTGCATAGACTGGATTTGGGATTTTTATTGATTTAGCAAGTCATGTCTCTTTTCTGCTCTTCATTTGGTCATTCTTGTAGGCCAGTTCCCCATTGTCTCCAATATTCAATAAGCCTTAATGGCATACTAACTTCAGTGCAACTTCTTCACTGTCCTTCAGATGTTCTTCCAATGCTTTTTTTACTTCTTCAAATATCTGGTATACTTGCAATATTCAACGCCCGCTTATATTCCTTGGTAAGTAGAGTCTTCGAGTAATAGAATCAATACGCTATTGAAGACCCATCCACAGCGGGGTGGGTGTTTATTCACACATAAACATAAACAAGAACAGATGGAAAACAGATGGAAAGCAGGAGAATCAACCAATCAGGGTAACACTATCCAAAAAAAACCACCTGTTTAGCGTCACTGTCAAAGTTGGAAATCTAGACAGCAATTTCTTAAGCCAGCTTCGTTTCTGGCTGGTTTCAGCATGAAGACAAGCAGCTTAACGCTGCTGAGTAGAATTGATTTTTGTCCAACCATTAGTTCAGGATGTGACCCATTTGGATCAGCATTAAGATCATCATTAGAAAAACACGCCATTAATAAATTCTCTTTCTTCCTCCCCCAATACACACTCAGAAAAAATGCAGCTAGTTGAGTTATTCCAGTTCTATCTCTTTCAACTTCAAAGACAAGCATATGCTGCTGTAATGGACACATAGTAGTCCCCTTGGGTGCAATCTATTTCCACTATTTAGAAATTGTAATTGCACAGTACTTATTTTATCATGTGAATAATTGTGCCTCTTGGTGGAATACATTTCTTAAAACCATACTTCAGTATGAATTCATCCAGAAAACCTGACTAGCCATATTATTTTTACACTGAATATCTGTGTGCGTAATAATATCTACATATTGACTTTTCTAAATTTTGCTACAGCTTCCAATATACAAGTGCTGGACAACTAGCAGCCCACAAACTCTTTGTTACAAACTCTGGAGCTCCTGGAATTGCTTAAGATCAATCTAACAAAAGAAACAAGGTTGGCTAAGGCATTGGGTAGGCTTGCCATACTAAAGGACAAAAATAGAAATAGATATCCTTGATAATTAACCTCTCTATGAAAAAATGCCCCCATTCGTATCATGATTTTATGGCCATACAAATCTCTGGGCCATAGCTACCAGAATTTATTCAAGAATACTACCATATTTACCAATCTCTATAATGTGCGAGTGAAGCTTGAATATACAAGTTAATGTATAGTTATCTGCAGTGAAATCTAACACAAAAATAGTTAGAATTATGCTTGCTATTCTTCCTGTAATTCACATTAGCTACTCAATACATTTTAACAGCTTTTCTTAACTTGATTCTGCAGTTCTGTTAAGACTACAATGTCCATGCTTGCGTGGAATTCAGGGAGTTGCAATTCAAATACATCTAAAGCAGGGGTGAAATCTAAAATTTTTTGCTACCGGTTCTCTGGGTGTGGCTTAATTAGTGGGCGGGGTTTGGTGGTAAGGTGACTGGGTGGGCGTGGCCAAGTCAATGTCACTTCTTTGCCCTTTTTTAACCTACAAAACACAACACAACACAACTGGCTCACCCACAATGTAAAAGCAGCTGTACTAGACCCCAAATGGCCCCTGAAACAAGCAGGAAGCTCACACAGCCACAAAAAGCCCAAAAAAACCAATTTTCACACTTTACACATACAAAATTCCACATACAACTTTGCGAGATTTTGTGTGTTTGTGTAGTTAGAGTGAAACACTACAGAAACATCCTAAATCTCAGAAAGCTGCACAAATATTATTTTATTTTATTTTTATATAAAAGGAGCTAAATTTAAAACTTCCTAAACTTTAAATGGCTAGGTCTAAAAAAAGGACAACTAAAAAAAACCCAATTAACTATTTTTTTTAAAGCTCCCAAAGGGGGGAAAAACTTATCCAATAGAACAGGGGTCTCCAACCTTGGCAACTTTAAGACTTGTGGACTTCAACTCCCAGAATTCCTCAGCCAGCTTTGCTGGGAGTTGAAGCCCACAAGTCTTAAAGTTGCCAAGGTTGGAGACCCCTGCAATAGAAGGTACAAGGCAGGCAGGAAGGCAGGCAGGCAGATAGAGCTGCTCACCGATGAGCTTGATTGCAGGCAGGGATATTCAGTTGCTTGCTGATGCAATGGATTGCAGGTATTACAGCAAGCGAAGCAAGGCAGGCGTTGCGACCAGCAGTTAAAGTAAGCAAGCGGGGGGGGGATTTTTGCTACCGGTTAGCAGGCAATTCAGCTGGGATCGTCAGAGCTTGGCTCGTCAGACCCATTTAAAAGAAAAAAAAGGCTCTGATGATCGCGCGGCTCAGCTGGGCATGGGGGACGGGGGCAGGGATTTTTGCTACCAGTTCTCCGAACTGCCTGCCACCATCACTACCGAGCCGGTCCGAACCAGGACCATTTCACCCCTGATCTAAAGGACGTGTTGACTTGGTAAATCACCAAGTCATAAATTAATAGCACACAGGGAGCAGAATTAAACCTTAATAATTTTGACACCCTAACTGCTGATTATTACAAGTTTCTGGATTTAATTCAGAGCTGCACATGTGGAATTTCATTCAGGTAATGCTCCCATTGTTGAAGGGCGAAGTAAAATACCACTGATGATTCCTTCCTTTTAGACTTCTAAAAATCTTTTCAAGAACTCTTCAAAACTGCTTCATTAAGTTTTTCCTCTTGTTGTTAAATATTTAAAATCTAGGAGTTACAGTACAGACTAATACATTTCCTACTTGGTGTCATTTATAGATTCAAGAACCTTTGCCCAACATGATTAAAGAAAGCTCCAAAGATCATTTAAAAAGAAAATTGAGGGACTATGCACTCCTGTAAAAGTACATTGTCTTCATGGATTAGAAAAGCAACCTGAATCTCTTTGTCTACAATTTGTTATCTAGGGTAAGCTCCACTGGACAGAGTGAAAACCTACTTTCACGAAGAGTTCGGCTGTGTTGAACTCTACATATCTATAGAAAAGAAAAAAGTGGTTTCACACCAGCATCTCGTTTTATTTTCTCATCTGATCTCATATTCTTTCAATGATTGAGTTAGCAATTTTTCAGGACATACGAAGCAGTTCTCCCATGCTAAACCACGTTACGTTTGATCTTGGTCCTCACAGCCTGTCTAAATCGTATTCCAGAAAAAGCAATGACAATAAGAGAAGGCAGGGATTACTATGACTCACCTTGCCAGTGATGCTTGTAATCGCACATGCGTGATAGAGCAATCATCATGGCACAATAAAGAGGTAGAATTGCTGCACAGAGCCGCCAGCTTTTCCCACGACCTTTTTCAGTGAAGCAGTGCAGCTTGCCAGCCAAGTAGAAAGTGGTAAAGCCAAGGCCTGAAAATGCAACTGCCAAAGGAAGAAGAGAACAGGGAACCAGGAGGTGAAATAGCACAGCAGAATGCCACAATGCCAGAGAACATAGCTCATTGCTGTAGAAAACAAGCTTTACAAGTGACATAGGCAATTATTCTATGCCATTAACTAGAAATTCTATCTAGGCATTTCTCTATAACTTTGACCTGAAACTAAAAGACATGAGCTCTGTTGTACCATCTTGCTCTCCTGCGATTTATTTTTTTTTTAAAAATCTCATTCAGTTCAGGTTTAGCTCCTAACACTGCGCCACTGCATTTCTTCAACGCATTGCAAATAAAACCGTTTCAGATTATATTGCTATTTTGCAACCCAAAGCCTGCAAGCTATTGTGTGCAATTATCAAAGAGCTGCTTTTGATTTTTAATAACCCAAAAAATGGATTATCTGTTTGCAAGGAAAGCAAGAAAGTGAGATGAAACTCATATGCTGTATTAAATTATAATTGGATCCTCCTGTGGCCAATATTGGATTTAACCATGATGCAGCTGTGATTTAATTATGTTCCAAAATATTCTACTCATAACTGTGTTGGAGAGGCGGTTAGAAATAGCAACATTCACAAATCCCATTTCTGAAAGGGAGATGACAGGAATCTTTTTTTTTGAAAAAAAATTGGTCTATAACTAATCAGTAATAAATCAACAGGGATGTTTATCCTGCTATATGTGCAAAAGGTGCTCACTTCTGATCTCCTATTTAGGGTACAGAATGAATACATGTTGCAACATCTATAATTTCAAACTTGTGCTACAGAGATTTAATTGACCTGGAACTAATGTTGTCCAGTCATATTTTCTCAAACATTAATTAGCTTGATAAATAATTGTAGTACCCATATATAAATATATATATATATATATATTGGGAACAAGGCAGAAAATATATCACTGAGGAGAAGGTTAATAACCTGGAAACTAGCAAAGGAAATATATTTGTTAACTAACCATGATTTAGAAATCAGGTGCAAAACCTAACTGTTTTTTCCAATTATGATTTACAGTTTGCTGAATTCATGAAAACATTACTGAAATATGATTGAGAATCCCCATAGATGTTTAAAATATTAGCCTTAAAACAGCCAACAATTTTCATTTTCCATGAGATTTCCAGATATCATCCATTAAAAAAAAATAACATCCTTGCAGAAATACAGCTGGAAGATTATTGGCTAATGATCTCTGTAGAGCAGCTAATACGTTACATTACTTTCATTACGGACCTTGTAAGATACTCTGTCAATAGAAATGAATTCCAAGTAACTATGCAGAAGAACACAAAGTTTTCACCAGGGGATGGTGAGCAGATGTCAAGACAAAAGAACATTCCTGCGGGAAAATAATGTTTAGTGAATTACTGCCACAGCAGTTGTGTTGTGTCACAGTAGCCACTTACCCAAATGCAGACTGATATGAATATTTTCCTCCAGATGTCCCTGCTCCTCTAGCTTATTTTAGTTATTATTAGGGATTAATGGTTGCACTTCCAAACATGCCATAGGCTGAAGTATTTTTTTTATTTTCTAGACATGCCCATAAGACATAGGTGAGCATTCAAGGCATTTTGATAAAAAAAATGCCTTGTTACAAATTACACATGTGCTCCAGTACATCTAAACTTTAAAGCAATATATATCTATTATATCTATCTGTCTGTCTGTCTGTCTGTCTGTCTGTCTGTCTATCTATCTATCATCTATCTATCATCTAGCTAGCTAGCTAACTAACTAGCTATCTCTGTCTATAATCATTTTAGAAATGTATAAGGCTGCCCAACTCTAATAATCCTACCATACAGTAGAAAAATGAAATACCCATCACCCACACTAAGTACCGCTGTACTACGAATAATACCTACATCATGGAAGAGGAAAACCCTACTCCTGGGTACCCAAAGTCTTCCAGAAATAATAAGATCTTGACAGTTTTTATTAACACCCACAGAGTTGGTGCTGATCTAATCTGAAATAGAACACTATTACAAATGGAATGGCAGCAATATAAAGATCCCAAATGGAAAAGAGAATAGACAATAGACAATACAATTAATATTATATGTGTATTTGTGTACACACATACGCACACGCACACACCACTGTATATGTATATTGTATGTATATTACATTTAAAGGTCACTGAATACCAAATGACTCTAGCAAGCTTACATACTAAAAGTTATAAACAATAAAATAAAATAAAAAGGTAATGAATATCTAGAATAACACAACACAGCATCCCAAAACTGACAGGAGTTCAGCAGCCATTGTATTCCCAGGTCTGGAAACCAAAGCCATTTTTTTAAAAGACTTACAGAATACATACCATACAGATGAGGGGAAGACATATAGATCCTTTGGGGAATGTTCCAGAGGGCAGGCAAAGCTGATACAATACCTTTACTTTCAATTAAAAGTTGGTATTTGAAGGGCATCAAGGACCATGCCTACTGACACATTGCTGATTTATGAGTACCATGTTGCTCAAACCTTCTCTGGTAGTACAGAAATAGTCCTGAGATAGGAGCCATCCATGATTCTTGCCTTCAGATTTCAATCTCAAAATCTTGGCTCGCTTTAAAGCATTTATAGAGATCCCTAATTTCAAATATATATTTTGTTTAGAATAACTCTTCGTAAAGGATGCTCTGAACAGAATTCCCGTGTGAAGCAGTTACAAGTAACATCTTGTGAAGCATATTATTCAGCCAAAGAAAATTTGTACCGTAATAACAAACTGTTAGTTAATGGACTTACTCAGTTTATTTCAGGAAATTCTTTAAAAACAACAACAACAATGTTCATACTGCTCTTTTTAACCAAGTCAGAAGCATAAACCTCAATACATGTCTATTCTCCTGAGAGTGACTCATAAGTATGCCCAACATACATAAATCTTGCAGTTAACCAGCCTGAAGTACTTCTGATGTACTGATCCCTTTTCCCACATAGATAAAACTGCAAAGCATTTCTAGCTTTATGTTTCCTTTTGTAAAGCATCAACAGGTGTCCATTTGACACAGAAAAAAAAATTGGCAGTTCTAGTTTGGGTCTTTTTACAATCTGGTGCCCTTCTATATGAGACAGCTAAAATAATCATGGCTAGTAATCTTTGTTCTGATCAGTTCTACCAACCAAAATGGTTGTTGGAGAAAGGCTAGAATCTAGGAATATAAAAATAAATGCATTAGGTTTTTTTTTAAAGACATAAAAATCCTCAATAGATTCTTCCAGACTACGGATGGCCACAACAATTAGACACCACTGGCATTCTTAATTTTTGCAGCAATTATTAAACAACAACATTAGGGAGATGTGTTCAGGACTGGTTACACTATAAATAAAGTTATGTCAGTGGTAAAAAAATATATAATTGTACTAGAAACATAAGGCGTACATTACAAGTATATTAACTATGCAAGTTAACTTCCCATGCTGATTCAAAATAGCTTAAGAAAGAGTACATCCAGTTACTAAGTTGGAAGGCTGCAGACTAAAATGAAAGGGGGGGGGAGCAGGAAGAAAGCAGTGGCAAATTACTTCTGGTGAAATTAGTTGCTGTTTTCTGCCAAGAAATCAACAACAGAGTGGGCTCCTGTTGTTACCAAGAGTTGGCTCAATTTGAGGGAGATTTTATCTTATTAAACATCTTTGTGTTTAAAATTGTTAATATTAGGAAGCAGACATCAAAATCTACAGAGCATCTCCTACTGATCTGGAGACGTTTTTAAAACACACAGAAAATAAAATTGGAAAGAACAAAACAAAAGAAGAATCCAGGCGTCTTTTCATTATTCACATATTCTGAACCTGTTAGATTTATGGAATATCTCTTCTAATGTGAAAAAGTGTTCATGAGCTTGTTTATTTATTTATTCTCTTATAGCAGAAGTCATAACTATTTCCCATTAACTTATTCATTCATAAAAAGCCAAGAAGCGTTCCCACCCCCCGATTAAGAATTTTTCTGGCCTTTTTAGAAACAATACAGAGTGTTGTTGCTTTCAGCAACAATTCAGTGTCAATGATAATAGAATAAAAATATATTCTTCCTTTTTCTGGAAGAAGAAACTTGAATGTTCTGGTGTGTGCAAGAGTATGTGTGATCACCACGTCAAGAGCATATGCCCGAAGGACAAATTCCGAGATGTATCCTGAAATTATGAGAAAAGTGATTTAAAAGTCATTCTAATAAACTAAATTGGCTTTTGAAAGGAAAGAGAATGAATAAATCATTTCGTTTTTTAAAAGATAATTATGAATGTCCCCATGCTGCACTTCAAGGAAGTCAATTATAAGTACAGAACTTCCTTGAGCTTAACTTTTCCAAAAAATATCCTCTCTGGAGGTTTTATAAAGTACAAGATGTGCTTCTTTTTTTCCCTTTCAACAAACGCAAACGATAATTAAGAAGGGGCCACAAATTAGTTGATCCATGGGACATATAAGCCCTTTTGTGTTAGACTTCAATGTTTAGGGGGGAAACTCTCTTGTGAAAAGAAATTTGAAACAAAATAGGCTGAATTTTATTAATATTAAGTTAAAACTAAAAGGTGGTCTTGACTCAGGAATCTTAGTACCATTCTTGGGTAGCTCTCTCTCTCTCCCTCCCTCCCTCCCTCCCTCCCTGGAATAAATTTTAAGAAAACCTGTGAAGCTAACATCTAGAGTGGTGAGTCCAAAGGATACAGTTCATTTCTACAGCATACATTGAGTTGACCAAATACTCTTTTCTTAAAATATTTATTGGGAAGGATTAAGACTTAATCTTTTCAGTCTTTAGCCCAAGAATATTGGTTGGGTTGCAGTTGTTTTTACCTTAGCCTGTTTGTGGCATAGCCAATTTAATTTTAAGTCAGTGTTGTATCTGGTACAATTTACAAATAACAAACTTCTGAAGGTTCTTACAGTATTGGGGTTAAATATCAGTGGCATTGGAGTGTAAATCCTGCAAAGGATTGTCCTGCAAGGCTGGAAG